GCCCCACTGCAGAGTCCACACCATGGCGGGCAGATCCCGCAGCCGGAAAGCCGCGGGTCAGCCATAGTCTCTCCTACATGGCCAGAGGAAGCGCGTGCGGGAAGGGAAACGGATCCCTTGGCGCGGCCTCGGCGGGCCCCTGGCGCCCCTGGCGTGGCCCGGCGTGCCTCCAGGCGGCTCGAGTACGTTTCGGGACGCCTTCAGGGAGCGCCGAGATCGGGCCAAGAGCCCCAACATGGCCCTGGCCCCAAAGGCCATCCAGACGGCTCGCGGCGGCCAAGAATCATTGAATGTTCAGCGGTTTTGCCAGATTAGGTCCTCGCGATTTCGAGCCAAGAGCGGGCCAAGACGGCTCTTGGGGCCACCCGAACGCTCCAAGGCCGCCCAAGAATTCCCGCAAGGCCCCCAAGACGGCTCAGGAGGGCTCCAAGACGGCTCCCAGAGGAGCCCAAGACGGCCCAACCAAGCCCCAAGACGGCGCGAGAGAGCCCCCAGGAGCCCCTAAACGGGCCCCAAGAGCAGCTCAAGAGGGCTCACAGTGAGATCCGAGACTGCCCAAGAGCCCCAACATGGCCCTAAGACGGCACAAGAGGCCGTCCAGACGGTTCGCGGCGTTCAACAAGTATTGATCATGTCTATGATTTTTGCCAGATTTTCAGGTTCTCGCGATTTCAAGCGAAGAGCGGGCCCATACGGCTCCTGGGCCCCCCGCGAACGTTCCAAGGCTCAAAAGTGGTTCTGGCAGGGGCCCCAAGGCGGCTCGGGAGGGCTCGAAGACGGCTCCGGGAGGAGCCCAAAACGGCCCGAGAAAGCCCCAAGACTGCGCGAGAGAGCCCCCAGGAGCCCCCAGACGGGCCCCAAGAGCCGCCCAACACCCAAGACGGCCCAACACCCTCAATATGGCCCCCACGCGGCGCCCAAGACTGCCCACGAGGCGCCCAAGACGGACGCAAGTCACCCTCAAGACCCGTTGCGAGGCTCGAGGATACCTCCGAGCGGCCCCCACGACCCCGACGACCCCCCCACCCACGACCCACGACCACCCCCGGACTGCCGAAGACGCCCCTGGCACCCCAGAGATGCCGGCACGGCCGGCGAGCCCTTAATTCGTCGAGATCTCGGGGCCGAGGGGCCTTTGAGCAGGTGGCTTGTGGGACGCGTGGTCTTGGAGGCCAGAGAGCTCTTATAGCGGACCCGCCCCCCTGCCTCCCAGAAGGAGAGGCAGTCTTCTGAGTCGACGGGTTTGACGGCGCGCTTTGTTAACAAAGTGTTTTGCGCTGGCCTGTCCTGAGTTTTGACAGCGTCATAGTAGGCTTGGGACGCTCCAGTAGGCCCTGCATGCTTCTGTCCGGGGGGTGTCGCTGTCATAGGACCCGCGATTCCCCAAAGAAGAGCGAGAAGATGATGGCACCCGTTCACCCCGCAAGCGGACGTAGTCCACGGGGTCTCTACTATAGTTCAGCGTTCCCGGCGGCCACTGGCGCGGCCCGGGGCCGTGGACCGGCCCCCTCGGCGGCCATCGGCGCGGCCCCGGGGCCTCGGCGCGCCCGAAGATGGCCGAAGACGGCCCACGAGGGCCTCCGAGGCGGGCCCCGAGCGCTCGAAGACGCCCACGATAGCGCCACGGTAGCGCCAGAATCAGCGCGTGCGCGAAGGGCGAGCAGTGGCAGCAGGCTCTGGCGCTGCTGAGCGAGATGTGGGATGCGAAGCTGGAGCCCAACGCAGCCAGCTACAGCCCTGCGATCGGCGCTCTGCTGCGGAGAAACGATACGACAGGCTAGAACTCTATGGAACAGCGCCTGAGTGCAGGTTTGGCGGCAGCGGTCTCTGGTGTTGTTAAGCGAATTGGGGGAGGCGGTGCTCGGATTCGGACGTTATCAGAACTATAGCGCTGGGATCAGCGGATGCCAGACAGGACGAGAAGTGGCAGCCCGCGCTTGTGCTGCTCAGCGAGATGTGGGAGGCGAAGCTGGAGCCCAATGCCACCAGCAATTGCAGCGCTGGGATCAGCCTGGCGAGAAGGGCAATCAATGGCAGCAGGCTTTGTTGCTGCTCAGTGAGACGTGGGAGGTTCGGAGCCCGACCTCATCAGTTACAACACTGGGTTTAGGGCGTACGTCAATGGCGATCAGTTGCAGCGAAGTTTGGCGCTGCTCGGCCAAATGCGCGAGGTAATGTTGGAGCCCAGCGTCATCTTTACTACCGCGACGGGATCAGCAGGTGCGAGAAGGGCAAGCAGTCGCAGCAGGCCTTGTCGCTGCTCTGCGCGACGTGGAAGGCAAAACTGAAGCCCGACGTCATTAGCTACAGCGCTGGGATCAGCCCAGGCGGGAAGGTCGACTCGCGGCAGTGCTCAGGGTTATTTCCAAGGCGAAACTGGAGCCCGCCGTCGTTAACTACAACGCTTGGATTAGGGTTCGGACGTTGCTCAGGGAGTTGTGGGAGGCGAAGTTGGAGACGAACGTCCTCAGCTACAGCGCTGGCATTGGCGCGTGCGGATGCAGGTGAATAGGGGCAGCGAGCTCAGACGCTGCCCAGCGAGATGTAGGAGGCGAGTCCAGGACCAAACACTATCAGCAACACTGCAGGAGTCAGCGCGTGCGAAAAATGCAGGTGGCATTGGGCGATGTTGCTGCTTTGAGCCCAACGTCACCAAATACAGCGCCGGGACCAGCGCGTGCGAGACGGGCGGGAAGTGGCGCGGGTGCTGTTGCTGCTCAGCGAGACGTGGGAGGCGAGGCTGGAGGCCCATGCCATCAGCGGCAAGGCTGGGACCAGACCGTGCAAGAGGGGCGCACACTGGCCGTCGGTTGTTGCTGCGCTGCCGAGCGATATAGGGGAGGCGAAGCTGGAGCCCGGCGTCATATCTCTGGCGTCATCTCTCTGGGACGGCGAGCGGCTACAGCGGGCTCTAGAGATGCTCGGCCGCGGGGGCGGAGGCGGAGCAGCGGAAGGAGTGTGCGCCCGAGCCGCTGGCAAAAGCTCTCCGGAGAGCAGAAGCTGCGGGAGGCGGCAAGGACCGACGCGTCGGACGCGAGTGTCCCGCTGCCCTTTGCATCCGCGCCCAAGTGGCGCGGGGCAGGGCGAGACGACGCGTCCTGGCGGCCCTCGAGACCCGTGCCCGGGAGGCATGCGGCGGGGCGATTGCCGGGCCTCCCCGCCTCCAGCTGTCTTTTTCCCTTGTCCTCCGCCGATGCCCGCTCCTGCCCCGCCCCCCCCTCCTCCCCCTGCCTCTTGATGGGTTCTCGATCGCCTCTCTGCTGCGATGCTGCTCGTCGTCGTCGCGTTTCTCCAGAACGAGCCGACGAGTCACGTGCCCAGTAAGTGGCCCCGCTGGACGGAGCGCCGGGATTGTCGGGGGTGGCCAGGACGGGGGGGTGATGATGACAGCCGAGCATCTGATTAAGAACCCGCCTCTCGAAAAGCTGGGCCAGCGTTCCCTAGCCAACTTGCCAGAGAGCCGACCCAGTCCCTTGAGCACGCTCGCCCCTCCAGCGTCAACGACAGACATTGACCCAAGTTTGTTCAAGCAGCTTCCGGGAAGCTGGCCCATTGGCTCCAGGGAGGACTCAGGGCGAACTCGCGCCGACAGGGCAGGCTGCGGTCGGCCTCTGGCAAGGGAGAGTCATAAGTTCGGATTGTTGCAGCCAGGTCGAGTGCCCGAATCCAGGAGGAACGCCCTCATGGAGGCATCCGATGTTTTGGGGTGCCCAGATCTGGGTGCACCAGGCATCCGATGTTTTGTTGCTGTTGTCGATTCTTTACGCTTCGCGTATCCCCTCCAGCTTGTTCGTCAACCCTGCCCATGAGAGCTGACGGGGAAAGGGACGAACAGACGCATACAGTGATCCAAAGCGGGCAACCAGGATGACCAGAGAAATCTCTGGGAGCAAGGGGTGGCCTTGGGGTCCTCTTCGGGCCATCCTTGGGGCCCGCGGGGGGCGAGGGAAGGAGGAGGAGGAGGAGGAGGAGGAGGAGGAGGAGGCGAACCGCCTCTGGGGGCCCTCGTGGGACGCTCGTGGACGCGCCGCCGTTTGCAGCACGTCGGCGTGCTACTCCCTCGCTGCTGCCCTGAAGCCTGGCGCTTGCTCGGCAGCAGCAGGCTGACATGTTCCAAGCGGAGGCACGTCCTCGATATTGTTGCTGCCCCCCCCATTGCCGGCTCCGTGCGACATCTCGGCGGCGCGCGGAGGGTGGAGGGCGGGGGGGGGGGCACAGGGCGCAGGCGTATGAGAAGAGGCCGCTCGAGAAGCTTGATGGGGAAGCCTCTCGGCCCCGTGCCTCGCGGGGAAGCCCCGTGGGGACGCCCCGTGGACAAGCCTCGCTGGGAAGCCTCGTGGGGAGGCCCAAGAGGCCTCGCGGGGACGCCTGCCGGGCCCCGCTCGGAAAGGCTCGCGCGCCTGCCTCGTTAGGAGGGCGTTTCCCATCGCCCCGCCTCCGGGCCCAGGTCCGCCGAAATTTAGCCCTCGGACCCAGACCCCTCCCTCCGTGTCCCTCCCGGCGGGTTTCGGGGGCGGCCGAGATGCGGGGGGGTGATGACTTACGTATGGTGGGGGGGAGTTCATAGCTGGGGGCAGGGCATCTCCCTGGAATTCATGGCCCCCCACTTTCAATGCGTCCCTTGGTCCCGCCCTTCCGCGCACATGCCTGGGGCTATGATTTGCGACCCCCCTTCTTGGACCCCCCCAGAAGTTTCCCGTAGCCATTTTGGCTCAAGCAATTTTGACCAAAGGCATTTACAGTATGGCTCAAGCCGCGGTGCCTTGTTTTCTCGGATGCTGGGCATCGGCCGAGGGTCTCGAGATGGCGCTATTACCCTCGAAGCGTTGATCAAGAATTGCGGTCGGACAAAACAATGGAGCGCAGCATTGCGGTTGCTCCGCGAAGGACTTCGATTAGGTGTGCAACTCGTACCTGGCGACTACATTGCGACTGCCAGCGCATGCAGAAAAGGCGGGCAATGGCAACACGCGCTGTCAGTGCTCAGTGAGATGTGGAAGGCGAAGCTGGAGCTCACCGTCATCAGCTACAGCGCTGGGATCAGCGCGTGCGAGAAGGGCGAGCAGTGGCAGCGGGCGCTGGCGCTGCTGAGCGAGATCTGGGAAGTGAAGCTGGAGCCCGACGTCATCTCGCCTACAATTCCGGGACGGGTGCGTGCGAGGAGGGTCTTTGTGCCAATGGATTCCTCCTGGCTCCGCAGCGGCCCTGGGGTTTCCCTGGATGCCCCGACACGGCCTCAGACGGCCTCAGGACGGTTTTGAGAGGCTCGAGGGAGCGCGAGGATGGCCTCGGAGCACCCCCAGGGAGCTCCAAAACAGCCCCTAAGGCCACGGTAGGCCAGGAGGCTCCGAAGACGGTCCTGGAGGACCCCTCAGAAGAGCTCCAAGGAGCAATAATCACGTCAATCCTTTCGGAAGACGTATTTTTTTTTGCATTCTCGTGCTTTTCGTCTCCGACGCGTCCACGACGGCCATGCAGGCCCCCAAGATCGCTCCACGATGTCCCCATGAGGGCCCCAAGACGGCCCAAGACGGCCCCAGGACGGCCCCGGAGGCGCCCAAGACAGCCCAAGAAGCACCCAAGACGGCCCCAAGAGCCGCCCCAAGACGTCCCCAGAGGCGCCCAAGCCGGCCCAAGACGGCCCCAGGGAGGCCCAAGAGGCACCCAAGACGCCCCACGAGGGCCCCAAGAGGCCCCCCACGAGCCCGAGAAACACCAGGCCGGCCCGTGCTGGCGCCCTGGCTCGGTCCAAGCTCCCCCCCGGGGGCTCCAAGATGCCCTGATCTCCCGTCGTCTTAAGATCGGTTTCGGCGTTCTCGCCGTTTCGGATTCTCGACGCTGCAAGACGGGCCAAGAGGCCCTCAAGATCGCACCGACACGGCCCAAGGGACTTCCAAGAGGGCCACCAGACGGCCCAAGAGGGACCCAAGAGGGGGAACCTTAACTGACATTTTGCGTTCTGCGCTCCAAGATGATACCAGAAACCGCCAGGCCCCAAGAGGCACCCCAGAAGCCCCAGAAGTCTCCTCAAGAGGCCCCCCCAAAGGCCCAAACCAGGCCCCCACGAGGCTCCCGAGAGGCCCCAAGGCATCCCCAAGCCAGCCTTCAAGAAGCTTCCGAAGGAAGATACCTCAGCCAGCTGTGGGCGTGCGCCGGCCACCCAGGAAAATATGGCACCCACGCATCTCTCATGTTTCCCCCTTGCTTGGATCAGCTCCAGTCTGAGTGGGCGACTCGTTGGGGAGCTCTCCCTGAGAGTGCTCGGGGCAGGCCAGCCATTGGGGGCATGCTCCGCGGTACCGTCGAACTTCTTCCGAGCCGACGCAGCCCGCACGCATCCTCCGACCTCCTCGGGCGGCCACAGCCACCATGGAACCGTTGGAATATAGGGCCCACATACCTATTCTTCTAATTTCCAGCCTCGGCTCCAATACGGCATCAAGGCGGCTCAAGATCATTCTGGGGCGGCCCAAGGCTCACCCATTCGCCCCCCCGCAGGCAGGCAGCAACAGTACGCCGCAGCAGTAACTAACAATTGCCAGCAGCACACAGCAGCGGCTGCAAGCAGCAGCACGCAGTAGCATGCGCGGAATGCGAAGTTTGATCCCCACGTCATTATAGCAGTCTTTCGGCAGCATGTTCACCACCACATGCCAGTTCGCGCGGTATTCGTGGACTGTCTCCACGGGTCAGCCCTAAGTCAGCTACAATGATCTTTTTATCTGCCACCGTGGATTTTCCATTGGTTCACGCTAGTCAGCTACAGCGCTGGGATCAGCGCGTGCAAGAAGGGCAAGCAGTGGCAGTGGGCGCTGGCGCTGCTGAGCGAGATGCGGGAGGCGAAGCTGGAGCCCAACGTCAATTTTATGATGATTCTGGTCATTGCACGCGCGAAAGGGGGGAGAAGGTCGCGAGATGCCCCCGAGCGCCCGGAGCGCCCCGCCGCTTTCGGACGGCTCCGAAGAGCCCCCAGGTGGTTCCGAGACAGCTTCAAGCAGCCCCACTACCGCTCCGAGACGCTCGGGATGGTGGGAGGACGTCCCAAGAGAACCTGAACAAAGCCCCATGACAGCCCAAGACGGCCCGACGACGGGCCAAACGCTTCCGAAGACGGCCAAACCGGATCCCTGGCGCCCGAGACGGCCCAAGACGCACCCAAGACAGCCCCAAGAGCAGTTCATAATGGCCCAAGACGGCTCCACCGCCCCGTCTCCAAGACGGCTGTAGAGGCCCCCGCCGCCCCGTCTCCAAGCCTTTCCGTTTGGACAGTCTCTGGGCCGTCCGGGACGGCTCCAGAGGCGCCCGAGACGGCTCAAGAAACACCAAAGACAGCCCCAGTAGCGCCCAGTATTGGCGCAAGATGGCCCCAAGATTGTCCCAAGATGGTCCGAGAGGCGCCCAAGACGGCCCCACATCGCCCCAAAACGGCCCAAGATGCACTCAAGATTGCCAAAGAGGGCTCCGAGAGACCCACCCCCCGGAGGACGAAAAGAGGCCCCCAAGCGGCCCCCGAGAGGCCTTGGATGCTTCTCCCTTGGGGAGCGTCGAACTTCCACCATCGTCTTGGAGGCTTCTTGGACCCTCTGGGAGCCATCTTTGCGCTACTTGGAGACGTCTTGGGGAGGTGCGCTCGAAAAGTCGATTCGTGTCCTCGCACTGGGGCCCTTCTTAGGGAGTTCCGTCTTGCCGCCCTCTTGCGGGCCTCATAGGCCGCGCCCATTGGCCCCATTGTCACCACACTGCCAGATGAAATCATCATTCGGCCTCGGCGAAGAGTAGATAAACTTCTCACGGCTACCTTCCCCGCAGAAGCTATGATGAACACAGATTGCGGCGTCAGAAACAGCTTCTGTCCACATCATGTCATGCCTACATCGGTGTGCTTCCACTGACACCGCCTCCACCACAGCGTGCCTGCCTTCAGGCCTGCTTGCCTGCATCCCTCGCCCACCTTCCCCTCCAGCGGCCACCTCCTCCATCCACGCCGTCCCCTCCAACCTCCCCTTACCCGCGAGGCCCCAGAGACGCTCCACTTCCACGTCCACGCCAGGGCGGGCAAATTCCGCGGCCGGAGGCCGCGGGTCAGCCCCAGTCTGCTACAACGCCGGGATCAGCGCGTGCGAGAAGGGCGAGCAGTGGCAGTGGGCCCTGGCGCTGCTGAGCGAGATGCGGGAGGCGAAGCTGGAGCCCGACGTCATCTCTTCTACAATATCGGGAACAGTGCGTGCGAGAGGGGTTTCTGCACCGGGTGCCTTCCGGCGGCTCCGAGCCGCTGAAGAGGGCGCCCCGACGGCCGCACGACGGCTCTGAGACGCCCGAGAGGCTGCCCCGACGGCCCGCAGACGGCTCCGAACCACTCCAGAGGGCGCCCCCGCGACCCCAAGACGACTCCGAGCCGCTCTATAGGCTACTCCGACAGCCCAGGGGCGCTCCGAGCCGCTCAAGAGGCCGCTCCGACGGCCCCGAGGGCCCCCCCAGGCAGCCCAGGAGCCTCCGACGGCCCTCTAGGGTTCCCCAGAACAGCCCCGAGCCCGAGAAGCAAAAATCGTCCCATTCCCGCCGGGAAACTCACATTTGGGGCATCCTCGTACTTTTCGTCTCCGACGCGTCCACTACGGCCACAAGACGGCCCACGATCGTCCTAAGATGCGCCAGTCGGGGCCCCAAGACTGGCCCAGGACGGCCCAAGAGGCGCCCAAGACAGCCCAACAGGCACCCAAGACAGCCCCAAACACGGCCCTGGACGGCCCACGACGGCCCGAATACAGCTTCACAGGCACCCGAGACGGCCCACTACGACCCCAAGAAGGCCCAGAAAGCACCCAAGACAGCCCCAAGAGCCGCCCAAGACAGTCCAAGACGGCCCCCAGACAGCCCAAGAGGCGCCCAAGACGGCCCCCCAGAGGCGCCCAAGACGGCCCAAGACGGTTCCGAGACAGCCCAAACGTCATCGACGAGAGCCCAAGCGGACTCCGAGAGGCCTTAGCCGAAAAGAACCCCAAGAGGCCCCCACACGACCCCCAAGAGGCCCTAAGTGGCTACAGAATTCCCTCCAGCAGAGGGGGGGCGGACGAGAGTTGAGAGGCAGAACGCAGGCCCCAATAGTCGGTCTCGATGCTCCGAGGTTGACGATCCAAGATCCAGGGCATGCAGGATCGAGGCACGAAGTCGGAGGCAGGCGGAGGAGGGGGAGGAGGAAAGAGGAGGAGGGGGAGGAGAGGAGGAGGAGGAGGAGGAGGAGGAGGAGGAGGAGGAGGGAGGAGGAGGAGGAGGAGGAGGAGGAGGAGGAGGGAGGAGGAGGAGGAGGAGGAGGAGGAGGAGGAGGAGGAGGAGGAGGAGGAGGAGGAGGAGGAGGAGGGAGGAGGAGGAGGGGGGAGCAGGAGGGAGGAGGAGGAGGAGGAGGAGGAGGAGGAGGAGGAGGAGGAGGAGGAGGAGGAGGAGGAGGAGGAGGAGGAGGAGGAGGAGGAGGAGGAGGAGGAGGGGGGGGAGAGGAGGAGGAGGAGGAGGAGGAGGAGGAGGAGGAGGAGGAGGAGGAGGAGGAAGAGGAGGTCCAGATGACGTACGAAGCTCTGAACGTGACCCCAAGACGGCCCAAGAGGAGCCCAGACAGCCCAAGAGGATTTTGAAACGTCGCGAAGAGGCCCACACGAGGACCTGAGATGCCCTCAACCCCCCAGGAGGCCCAAAGAAGCTTCGAAACTGCCGCTTCAAAACTGCCTCCACGGAGGGGGCCCGCCGCCCCTGACACGCCTGTGAGAGCGTCGCCTTCCACAGAACTTCAACACAGTGGACCCTCCAACGTAGCGGAGCACGTCCGACCCAACAGCGGCTTCTGTTCAGGTCTTACTAAAGGTCACACCCTCCCGTCCCGTCGTCGGAATAAGAGATCCGGGGGCCTGCGCTGCCACGCTGGCGAATGGCCGGGCGTGTTCAGCAATGTTTGCTTGTCTATTTTGTGTGAACTCTCACACCCTCTTGAAGCTCTTTTGGGCCCTCCCTGATTCCCCGGGCGCTCCTGAGACGCCTCAGATGGGCTTCGACTTTGACCCGCAACCCCGAGAGACTTCAAACTGCCCCCAACACGAGGGGGGCAAACGAGCCGCGCGCCAGGGCCAAGCTGCTGGAGCGCTGCAAGAGCTCGGACACGAAGGCGCGGTCTCGCTGCCGCCGCCCAGGCCGCCGCCGTGCTTATAGGTGTTCGGCAAAGTCGTCGCTGTTCCTCCGAGAACCATTTCGGAAAGATGTCGTGGACTAAGTCCATGGGTCAGCCATAGTTAGCTACAACGCTGGGATCAGCGCGTGCGAAAAGGGCGAGCAGTGGCAGCGGGCGCTGGCGCTGCTGAGCGAGATGTTGGAGGCGAGGCTGGAGTCCAACGTCCTCAGCTACAGTGCTGGGATCAGCGCGTGCGAGAAGGCCGAGCAGTGGCAGCGGGCGCTGGTGCTCCTGAGCGAGATGTGGGAGGTGAGGCTGGAGCCCAACGTCATCTTATCTCCTACATGGCCGGGGGAAGTGTGTGCGGGAAGGGGAACGGACCGAGTATCTAAAGTCGGCCTCGGCGGGCCCCTGGCGCGGCCTCGGCGGGCCCCTGGCGCCCCAGGCGCGGCCCAGCGTGCCTTCGGGCGGCTCGAGCACGCTTCGCTCCAGGGAGCGCCGAGATCGGCCAAGAGCCCCAGCATGGGCCCAGAACGGCCCCAGAGGCCGTCCAGACGGCTCGCGGCAGCCAGAAATCCTTGATTAGTGTTGTGGTTTTTGCCCGATGTTCAGGCTCTCGCGATTTCGACCCAAGAGCAGCCCAAGACGGCTCTTGGGCCCCCCCCGAGTTTTCCAGGGCCGCCCAAGAGCTCCGGCAGGGGCCCCAAGACGGCTCAGGAGTGCTCCAGGACGGCTTCCGGAGGAGCCTAAGACGGCCCAACCGAGCCCCAAGACGGCGCGAGAGAGAGCCCCCAGGAGCCCCCAGACGGGCCCCAAGAGCCGCGCAAGAGGGCTCACAGAGAGCTCCGACACGGCCCGACACCCCCAATATGGCCCCTACACGGCCTCGAGGCTGTCCAGACGGGCCGCGGCAAACGAAATCATTGATTTCCCGATGGTTGTTTTTTAACGATTTCCACCTTCTCGCCATTTCGAGCCAAGTCTGGCCCAGGACGGCTGCTGGGGCTCCCCCGAATGCGTCAAGACCGTCCAAGAGGATCCGGAAAAGCCCCCACAACCACCCAGGAGGGCTCCGAGATGGCCCAGGAGGCGCCCAAGACGGTCCAAGCGCCGCCCAAGACGGCCCGACGACACCCATACGAGGCCCGAGGATACCTCCGAGCGGTCCCCACGAGAGCCCAAGAGGCTTCCAAACCGATCCCAGAGAAGTGATGCGGACAATTGTTTTCAACGCTCTGGAGGCCTTGCATGCTTCTGTTCGGGGGGACGCTAGATGTGGACGAAGTCCACGGAATCGCCCTAGTCTCTTCTCTATGGCGGACATCAGCGCGTGCCAGAAAGGCAAAACAGCGCATGTGGATACATGCGCCCCCTGGAGGGCCATTTGTCGACACCCCTCACGAAGATCCTGGCCCCCGAGCGTCACAAATCGAGCCCTCCTCCCAAAGACGCGCCGACGTGGCCATAAGAGGCTCCAAGGAGCGCCCAAGAGGCCCCCTAAAAGCCCCCAACAAGGCCCAAGAGGCCTCCAAGAGCCTCCAACAGTCCTCCGAAGCATGCCCCCAGAGGCCAAAAACCTTCATGTTTCAATGGTTGTTGAAGGAGTTTTGTCTTCTCGCCTTCTCGGCTAGCCGACGCTCCAAGACGGCCGAAGAGACCCACAAGACCGCCCCAGGATGGCCCAACAGGCCTCCAAGCGCGTCCCCAGACGGCCCAGGGAGCCCCAGCGCATGTGGATACATGCGCCCCCTGGAGGGCCGTTTGTCGACACCCCTCACGAAGATCCTGGCCCCCGAGCGTCACAAATCGAGCCCTCCGCCCAAAGACGCGCCGACGTGGCCATAAGAGGCTCCAAGGAGCGCCCAAGAGGCCCCCTAGAGGCCCCCAACAAGGCCCAAGAGGCCTCCAAGAGCCTCCAACAGTCCTCCGAAGCATGTTACCAGAGGCCAAAAACCTTCATGTTTCAATGGTTGTTGAAGGAGTTTTGTCTTCTCGCCTTCTCGGCTAGCCGACGCTCCAAGACGGCCGAAGAGACCCACAAGACCGCCCCAGGACGGCTCAACAGGCCTCCAAGCGCGTCCCCAGACGGCCCAGGGAGCCCATGCGCATGTGGATACATGCGCCCCCTGGAGGGCCATTTGTAGACACCCCTGATTCTGGCCCCCGAGCGTCACAAATCGAGCCCTCCGCCCAAAGACGCGCCGACGTGGCCATAAGAGGCTCCAAGGAGCGCCCAAGAGGCCCCCTGGAGGCCCCCAACAAGGCCCAAGAAGCCTCCAAGAGCCTCCAACAGTCCTCCGAAGCATGTTACCAGAGGCCAAAAACCTTCATGTTTCAATGGTTGTTGAAGGAGTTTTGTCTTCTCGCCTTCTCGGCTAGCCGACGCTCCAAGACGGCCGAAGAGACCCACAAGACCGCCCCAGGACGGCCCAACAGGCCTCCAAGCGCGTCCCCAGACGGTCCAGGGAGCCCCAGCGCATGTGGATACATGCGCCCCCTGGAGGGCCGTTTGTCGACACCCCTCACGAAGATCCTGGCCCTAGTAGTGCACGGTATTGTTCATTTCAGATGTCCGCTTTTCTCGCTCTGTAGCCATCGCTTCTGCTCAGAGCTTCGCTTGTTATGGCAGGTCTCGCCCTCGGCATCGCCCCTGCAGTCCGCGATTGGGCTGCGACTGGCCTGTACGCGGCCAACCTCTGGACCTCGCTCAATAAGGGGTGCCACTGCACGTGCACCTTCACTGGGGAGCACGACAAAGAGCTGATCCAGATCTTGCAGCGCCAATTGGACAGGTGCGGACCCGAGCAGCTGCGGAGCGCCCCGCCTGAGTGCCCTTCGGTCTTCTGGGAGGTCGCCTCGGTCGTGACCCTCGCGGTGCTCGCCGCGTTCATCATCGGCTACCTCGCCGGCAGGCTTCATGGCCATGGTCCCGCGCGCGCTGCCGGACCTGCTGAGGACAGCCCGCCTCGGGGACAAGCTGTACTGCCTGTACAGCCTGGAGGAGAGGTTGTACCACGAGAGGCTTCTCTGCGCCCACGTGGGCGGCTCACGTTGGGTGGTGGCGACGCCTGAGTGAAACGTGTACGTCGAGGATTTTGCCGACGAGGATCATGTGGAGATCCACCGCGCCGGGCCGCGCGGTGGTGCGCCTCCGCAGCTGCGCAAGAAGATGCTGTACCGCTTCGACCTAGACGACCAGGGCTTAGTCTCCCTCATGGACGAGGGGGCTCGGCTGGCGGAGGCGGAGCGCCGCGAGGCCTTGCGCGAGTCGGCGCCACCTGCGCCGGCGCCCGTCCGCCGGCTCCGAGGGAAGCAGCATGCTCTCCCTGCGGCGCCGGACGGTGGCACGGATACGCCGCGGGGCTCCGACGTCGGCCTTGCCGCTGGCGCTGCGGAGCCGCCGCTGCCGCCGCCTGCTCACGCGCCCCCGCCTCCCGCGGGCGCCGGCGGAGGGCCCCTGCCGCCGGTGCGCCTGGACGACGGCTGGGTCGCCCTCGAGTCGCGGCTAGGCTTCAGGCGGGGCGCGCCGGTGGACGTGACGTATGCCACCGTCTACGCCCAGGACGATCGTGCCATGGCCTCGTTCCCGGAGGGGGTCATCGCGCTGGGACGAGTGGGGGCCCTCTCTGACGAGGTGCCGCTCTCGCCGCGGGATGCGCCGGATGAGGTCCTGGACGAGCGCATCCTGAGGTACCGGAGGAGCGGCACGGGCCAGCGTCGCCGCGCCTTCGCGGATGTGGTGGCCGAGCAGCGGGAGGTGCTCAGCACTCAGGAGTGGCGCGTGCAGGGGCCTGCTACCATCGGCTGGCTGCTTCAGGCACACCTGGAGCAGGGTAGCGGGCCCGTCCAGCGACACTACTGGTGGCGACAGATCTTGGGGTTGGCTGCGGCCGACCCCGGGGTCGACGAACATTTGTTCCTGTGCGAGCTGATCGAGACGGCCACCACGGCCGACCAGCTCAACCTCCCCGGGTGTGAGACGTTCGAGCTGGCGGCCAGGCGCTTCCAGCTGTGGGAGGAGGTGTACTCCGAGGCCCTGCGGCAAATCGGGGTCTCAGGCACCGCTGGGGCCACGGCAGACTCTGACGGCTGGCTGGACGAGCGCCGGATCTTCCTGGGCGGCACCCGCTCCAAGGGCCATGCTCTGGTGGCGCCGCCCTTGTAGAAGCACGTGGCAGAGAGGATGCAGGAGGAGAGCGCCATCCTGAAAGAGAGGCGCAAGGGCAGAGAGGAGCGCCGCATGGCACGCGGTGTGAGCAGCAGCGGCGCCGACGCCGCACCAGGAGGTGGCGATCAAGGTGGTGGCGGCGGCGGCGCAGGCGGCGGCGGCCCTGGCGGCCGAGGCCGTGGCGGCCGCGGCCGCGGGCGGGCCTAGCATGCCGCCTGACTTTCGGCCTGTGCGCGGCCGCTGCAGCCCCCCGGGCAGCGGGCGCTTTCTCAGGGGAGGGCCGCCACTGCGGTGGTGATGGCGGCCTCGGCGCAAGGAGTCTCGGACACTGGCATGGCGCGCGACGTCCTGCCCCTCCCGCTGGGCGCGACGCTCGACGAGCTGCTGCATGGGGCGGCGGCCCGCCTTCTGCCGCATGACGGCGGTCGGCGCGGGCGGCAGCGCCGGCATCAGGAGGTCTGGCTGCGCGAGGGCATCGCCGCGCTGAACGACCTCGGCGGCCGCGGTGGGGATGCTCCAGCGGGGGCCCCGGCTGCCTGCCAGGTCGCCGCCGTGCGGCGCCTTGCGCAGCTCTACGGCAGGGTGGAGCCACCGCCATCCGACTTGACTCCCCTGTGGGCGTGGCAGACGCTCCAGGCTTCGCGGAACGGCTATGCAGACGTCATGGCCGAAGGTGCTTCGACAACCTACAGGAAGGGGGCCATGGCGCTCCCGCGGGCTGCGGCCGGGCGTGTGCGGCTTGTTGACGTGCTGCCTCCGCACCTGCAGTCTCTCTTGTCTGATTCGTCGCAGATGTTACGAGAGCCTGAGGCTCGCAATTTTGCTTTGGGTGAGGCTCCCAGGGTCTGTGCCATGGACCCCGTGCTGCAGCGGCATGGCTACCAGTTTGGCGAGTGCCTCTCCGAGCTGCTCTCCGCGGGCATCATCGAGCGCGCGGTCGAGGGCAGCATCATCGAGCGCGCTGGCATCTTTTTCGTCCCAAAGAAGGACTCGTCGCTGCGGCTGATCTTCGACACCCGAAGGTCCAATGCCAATTTCCAGGACCCGCCCTACACGCTGCTCGCGAGCGGGGAGGCCCTGGCGAACTTGGAGGTAGACGCCGCTGGAGGGATTGCTGTTGCCTCTGGCGACGTCGAGTGGTGCTTCTACCAGTACGAGCTGCCGCCTTGGGCGCGTGCCTTTTTTCGGACTGCCAGCGGTTCAAGCACGCTTCTTGCTACCAGCAGCTCGTCAGCAGCTTGGTGTTTCAGACCCTTTGGAGATGATCCACTTCGTTGCCAGAGTGGTCCCCATGGGCTAGTCGTGGGCCGTGCACCTCATTCAGGAGGCCCGTGCCCACGTCCTGGGCGCCATCAGCCCGGAGGCGCCCTGGATCGCTGACAAGGTGCCCACGCCGGCGCTCGGGTCTCAGTGCGCCACCGCCAAGATGCTGTACATCGACAACGTCGCAGTTTTCACGTCAGGCAGCGGTGACCCCGCTCTGGAGGTGGAGCGCATGCTAGCAGCTCTGGGTGAGCGGGGGATTCAAGCTTCCTTCGATCGCGATGACGGGGATCTGCACACCCTGCTCGGCTTCGTGCTGCACAAGCCCTCTGCCACCTGGCGCCTTTCGCACAGCAAGTTTTGGCGGCTGAAGTTCAGCCTCGATTTTGCACTGGCGCCCGGACGCGTCGTCACGGGGCGCGAGCTCGAGAGGCTGATGGGCCACATCACCGCGGCCGTCATGCTGCAGCGGCACATGCTCTCGCTCTTCCACGCGATCTACGAGTTCTGCCGGCGCTCGCGGGACAAGCGGCAGCCTCTCTGGTCGTCGGTGAAGCGGGAGCTCACTTGGTTCAGAGCGTTACTTCCCTGCGTGACCGCTTCACTGAGTCGCCCCCGGTGCGACCGAGTCACCGCCACTGACGCATCGCCATGGGGGTTTGGCGTCGTGGAGCAGCCGTGGCCCGTCAATGAAGTTCGGCGAGTTGGCAGCCTCTCGGAGCGCAGTCGCTCCAGAGGGGTCCTGACAGCTGACTACGCCCCCAGGGACACGCTGGGTGAACAGCAGCTCCTGCACGCCTCGGCGGCCGACGTCACCGCGGAGGGCACCCTGACCCACTTTGAGGAGGTGCCGGCGGCGCGGCTCTTGGCTGACCCTTGGTCGGTCGCAGCCGCCCGTCGCTGGCGGCGCGCCGCGGCCATCCACGTCCTGGAGGCTGAGGGGGCGCGCTGGGCTGTTCGGCGCCTTGCTCGCAATTCGCAGCTGCATGGGCGCCGGCACCTCATCCTGGGTGACAACCTCGGGGTGGTTTGCGCGTGTGAAAAGGGCAGAGCTGCACACTTTGCCCTCAACGTCGTCTGTCGGGAGATCTGCGCTATCTCAATCGCCTCCGGGATGCAGCTCAGGTTCAGGTGGATCCCATCAGAGCTCAACCCGGGAAACGCTCCCTCTTGCAGGTTTATGCCAGGCGCTAGGAAGCACCGCGTCGTCGGACAGAGCAGCACGCCCCCGGGCCTGGAGGAGGAAGGCACGCATCAAGCTGGGCCTCCGTCCGGAGTCATCGGCTCGAGGGAGCACGGCCATGCCAGCGACGGCCTACTGGGTCAACCCCGCCTACGGCAAGCGCGCCCGCGATGCAGCGGAGCCCAGGCCGGCGCCGACCACCGCCGCGCGCCTCCGACTGGCGCGGCGGGCGCGGGCCGCCAGGCCCTTCGGGCTCCCGCCAGGGCTGGACATCCCAGGCGCCGCTGAGCGACAGGCCCGCAGAGATCTGCGCGCGGCGGGCGCGGCTGTGTCCGCGGCTCCCGCGACTGGCGGCTCGTCGGGTGCGCCATGCCACCGAGCTCTCGTACCTGCGGGCGCTGACCATGCTCTTGGGTTGGCTCCAGCTGCTGGCGCTGCCGAGTTGGACTGCCGCGCAATGGGGCGAGACGCCGGTGGACTACTCCGAGTGGGCCTTCGACCGCGGCATGGGCCAGGAGGCGTTCTCGCGCACCCTCTGTGCCTTGGCGTGGGGCGAGCCCGCGCTGGGGGGGCCCGTTCGGCGTCTCTTTCCCTCGGCGCACGCGTCGCTGTCAGGCTGGACGCGGCTCCAGCCGGGACACTCCCGCCCGCCGCTGCCGCGGGCGCTCGCGCTCGCAATGGCGGCCGTGCTGGCCTCGATGGGGATGCCGGACTCGGGCCTGTGCATCTTGGTGGCCTTCGAGTGCTACCTGCGCCCGTCGGAGGCCGCGACCCTGCTGGCCAAGCAGCTTCTGCCAGGCATGTGCAAAGAGGTCGGGGTGCTGCAGCACCCCCTCCTAATCCTGCATCCAGAGGAGCTGGCTACCAGCTCCAAGACGGGCGAGTTCGATTCCACAGTTGCGTTCGACCTTCCTCGACATCACTGGATTGGGCGCGCGGCCGCGCGGCTGCAGCGGCTTCGACACGAGGACGAGCTGCTGTTTCAGATCTCGTACCCGCAGCTCCCGGCCGACTTCCATGCTGCTCTGGGCGGCAGCCGCCCCGCGGCTCTTCGACAGCGCCTACGAGCTGCCCTCCGCGCCGGCCGCCTTGGCGAGCGGCGGGCGTTCCTCGACCTCTTCTCGGGCTCTGGCGGCCTCGCCTCGGAGCTGAAGAAGAGAGGGCATGCTGTTGTCTCGATTGACGTGCTCCTTGGCCCCGAGTGCGACCTGCTGCAAGATGATGTCTTCCGCACTCTTCGGGGCTGGCTCGAGTCCGGTATCATCTGGGGCATGTTTGCGGGCAGCCCTTGTGAAAAGTGGTCCCAGGCTCGCAGGGCTCCGCCTCGCAGCGTTATGCCTCGTCGCTTACGGACAAAGGGGCACCTGCGAGGCCTGCCAGGCTTGGAGGGCGCCGACTATCACGATGTCGTCACCTCAAACAAGCTGGCCGACAGAATCGCGCTCCTGCTGGGCATCGCCCTGAGACGTCAGCTGCCAGCCGGAGAGGAAAATCCTGCGTCTAGTCTCCTATGGCTTCTGCCTAGCCGCCAGCGTTTCAATTCTCACGCTAATGTCCAGACTGTTGTCTTTGATTATTGCGGCGCTGGCCGCCCTTTTCGTGCTCGTACTCGCATGGCTCTCGCCAATATATCTGTTCCGCCAGAGCTGTACATGTGGCGCTGTAAAGGCAGGGGAGTCTGCGCGTTTTCGGGAAAGCCGCACCTTGTTCTGTCAGGAAAGTCCAACGCCGGCTTTCTCACTCATCTTAAAGCGTCCTACCCCCCTCGCCTGTGCTTGGTGCTCGCTCGAGAACTTTCTCACAGCTACGTGTCATTGCGGGCTAGCCGCCTCCTGGAATTTGATGCGGTAATCCAGTACATTGCTTGAGGACGGGGTTTATTCATGAAGATGGGTTGTGTGGGACAAATTGCCCTCTGGAAAACAAGAATGAACATAGTAGTGCACGGTATTGTTCATTTCAGATGTCCGCTTTTCTAGCTATGTAGCCATCGCTTCTGCCCTCGCCAGCCCAAGGCCTATTTAATTGTTGCGTTCTCTTCGGGTTGTGTGGGACAAATTGCCCACGCGACATGTTGTCATCGCCTCAGCATTTCTCTGGAAAGCAAGAATGAACACCGAGCGTCACAAATCGAGCCCTCCGCCCAAAGACGCGCCGACGTGGCCATAAGAGGCTCCAAGGAGCGCCCAAGAGGCCCCCTAGAGGCCCCCAACAAGGCCCAAGAGGCCTCCAAGAGCCTCCAACAGTCCTCCGAAGCATGCCCCCAGAGGCCAAAAACCTTCATGTTTCAATGGTTGTTGAAGGAGTTTTGTCTTCTCGCCTTCTCGGCTAGCCGACGCTCCAAGGCGGCCGAAGAGACCCACAAGACCGCCCCGGGACGGCCCGACAGGCCTCCAAGCGCGTCCCCAGACGGCCCAGGGAGCCCCAAGATGGCCCAAGAGGCGCCCAAGACGGCCCCAGAGGACCCCAAGCCAGGCCCAAGAGGGGGCCAAAGAACAAGGAAAAACCCTGACATTCCGAACCCTGGGCCCCCATACGCCCACATAAGGCCCCACGACCCCTCGAAGGGAACGCCAAGAGGTCCCCAGAGGCCCCCAAGGAGCGCCCAAAGCAACAGACAAAAAAAACCCACGGCAGGCCCCACGAGGCTCCAAGACGGCCCCCAAGAGGCCCCAAAGCTGCCTCCAAGAGGGACCCCAGAGGCCTCTGAGCCATTACCCAGGCACAGGCACGGTGGCGGATTTCATATGCCGCGCCCGCTGGCCCCATTGTCACCAGACTACCAGATGAAATTATCATTCGGCCCCGGCGAAGAGCAGATAACTTCTCACGGCTACCCTCCCCGCAGAAACTAGGATGAACACCGACTGCGGCGTCAGAAACAGCTTTTGTCCACACCATGTCATGCCTACATGGGTGTGCTTCTACTGACACCGCCTCCACCACAGCGTTCCTGCCTTCAGGCCTGCTTGCCTGCATCCCTCGCTCGCCTCCACCTCCAGCGGCCACCTCCTCATTCCACGCCGTCCCCTCCACCCTCCCCTTGCCCGCGAGGCCCCAGAGACGCTCCACTTCCACGTCCACGACATGGCGGGCAGATTCCGCGGCCGGAAGGCCGCGGTGAGCCCTAGTCAGCTACAGCGCCGGGATCAGCGCGTGCGAGAAAGGCGAGCAGTGGCAGCGGGCACTGGCACTGCTGAGCGAGATGCGAAAGGCGAAGCTGGAGCCCAACGTCATCTTCTCTACAATGCAGGGACCCGTGCGTGCGGGAAGTGTCCCTGTCTTGATGGGCTTAATGCCCCACAACGGCTCCGGGGACGCCCCCGAGGCGCCCACGCGGCCCCAGAGGCGCCCAGGACGGCCCCAGACACCCCCAAAACGGCCCAGGAGCGCTCCAAGAGAGCTCAAGACCGCCGACAACGGCCCCGACAAGGCCCAGGAGGCCTCCACGACGGCCCCAGAGACGCCCAAGAGGCGTCCCAGGATGGCCCCCACAGGCCCAAATCATTGTTTTTCCAACGAAAGACGTCCAATTTTAGCACGCACTGCTTGTCGGGAGTATGGCGCAGAAGATGGGACAAGAGGCCCCCACGACCGCCCAAAGACGGCCCAAGAGGCCCCCCAGAGGCACGAAAACCTGCCCGCGAGAGCGTCAAGAGACCCAAGAGGCGCCCAACACGGCCCCCAGGCGGCCCCAAGAGGCTCCCAGGAGGCGCCCAGGACGGCCCCAAGACCGCCGAACACAAACCCAAGATGGCCCAGGAGGCCTCCACGACGGCCCCAGAGACGCCCAAGAGGCGTCCAAGGATGGCCCCCAGAGGCGAAAATCATTGTTTTCCCAAAGAAAACGCTCACTTTTAGCATGCGCTGCTTGTCGGGAACATGGTGCTGAAGCTGGTTCCAGGTCCCCACGGCCGCCCCAAGACGGCCCAAGAGGCCCCCAGGACGCACGAAAACCGGCCCGAGAGGGCGTCAAGAGAGCCCAAGAGGCGCCCAAAACGGCCCCAGGGCGACACCAAGAGGCTCCCAGGACGGCCCAAGGTATCTCATTGTTTCGGCACCCCTCACGGAGATCCTGGCCCCCGAGCGTCACAGATCGAGCTCTCCGCCCAAAGACGCGCCGAAGTGGCCATGAGAGGCTCCAAGCAGCGCCCAAGAGGCCCCCAACAAGGCCCAAGAGGCCTCCAAGAGCCTCCCACAGTCCTCCGAAGCATGCCCCCAGAGGCCAAAATCTTTAATTTTTCAATGGTGTTTGAAGGAGTTTTGCCTTCTCGCCTTCTCGGCTAGCCGACGCTCCACGACGGCCGCAGAGACCCACAAGACCGCCCCAGGACGGCCCAACAGGCCTCCAAGCGCGTCCCCAGACGGCCCAGTGAGCCCCAAGATGGCCCAAGAGGCCCAAGCCAGGCCCAAGAGGGGGCCAAAGAACAGGGAAAAACACTGGCATTCCGAGCCCTGGGCCCCCATGGCCCACACAAGGCCCCAAGAGCGCCCGAAGACGCACTGAGGAGGGCCCCCAAACGGGCCGAGTGCCCCGGGATCGCTCCAGAGGCGCCCGAGACTGCTTAAGAGACACCCAAGACAACCCGAAGAGCGCCCAAGATGGCCCCAAGACGGCCCCAAGATGGCCCCAGAGGCGCCCAAGACGGCCCGACAGGGCCCCAAGACGGCTCAAGAGGCACTCCAGATGGCCCAAGAGGGCCCCGAGAGACCCCCAGGAGGACGAAAAACGGCCCCCAAACGGCCCCCAAGAGGCCTTGAATGCTTCCTGTTGAGGAGCGTCGAACTTCCAGCGTCGTCTTGGGAACTTTTTGGACCCTCTGGGAGCCATCTCTAGGCTTCTTGGGGGCGTTTGGGGGCGGTGCGCTCGAACGGTCGCTTCGTGTCCTCGCATTGAGGCCCGTCTTAGGGAGTTCGTGGGGCCCTCTTGGGCCGTCTTGGAAGCCTCTTGCCCCGTCCCGGAGACTTTTTGGGCCGTCTCGGCGCCTTCTTCCGGGCCTCTTAGGCCGCGCCCACCAGTCCCATTCTCACCGCACTACCAGATAAAATTATTATTCGGCCCTGGCGAAGAGCAGATACAATTATCACGGCGACCCGCCCCGCAAAAACTATTACGAACACAGAGCGCGGCATGAGAAACAGCTACATCATGTCGTGCATGGGTGTGCGTCCATTGATACCGCCTCCACCATCGCGTTCCTGCCTTCAGGCCTGCCTGCCTGCATCCCTCGCCTACCTCGCCCTCCAGCGGCCACATCCTCCATCCATGCCGTCCCCTCCAACCTCCCCACCCCGCGAGGCCCCCGAGACGCTCCACTTCCACGTCCACGCCATGGCGGGCAGATTCCGCGGCCGGAAGGCCGCGGGTCAGCTCTAGTCAGCTACAACGGTGGGATCAGCGCGTGCGAAAAGGGTGAGCAGTGGCAGTGGGCGCTCGCGCTGCTGAGCGAGATGCGGGAGGTGAAGCTGGAGCCCGACGTCATCAGCTACAGCGCTGGGATCAGCTCGTGCAAGAAAGGCGAGCAGTGGCAATGGGCGCTCGTGCTGCTGAGCCATATGCGGCAAGCGAAGCTGGAGCCCAACGTCATCTATACTACGATACTTTGAGCAGTGCGTGCGGGAAGGGTTTCTGCACCGAGTACTCTACCTGTGGTTTTGAGCCGCTGAAGAGGGCGCCCCGACGGCCCCACGACGGCTCTGAGACGCTCAAGAGGCCGCCCCGACGACGCCAAGACGGCTCCGAACCGCTCAAGAGGCCGCCCCGACGGCCCTAAGAGCCCCCAGGGCAGGCCAGGAGCCTCCAAAGACGGCCCTCGAGGATTCCCCAGGACAGCCCCGAGGCACACACATTGTCACATTCCTTTAGGAAAACTGCTGTTTTGGGCCTTTTCATGCGTTTCGTCTCCGACGCGTCCACGACGGCCACAGAGCCTCCCAAGATCGGCCCCAGGTGCCCTCATCAGGAGGGCCCCTACACGGGCCCAAGACGGTCCAAGAGGCGCCCAAGAAGACCCAAGAGGCACCCGAGACAGCCCCAAAGACGGCCCCAGACGGCCCGAAGACGACCCAACAGGCGCCCTTGACGGTCCACGACGGCCCCAGGACGGCCCCGAAGGCATCCAAGGCAGACCCAACAGCCGCCCAAGACGGTCCGCGACGGCCCCCAGACGGTTCGAGGGGCGCTGAAGACGGCCCAGGGCGATTCCGAGACGGCTCCAATGGCACCGAAGAGGGCCCCAGAGAGGCCCCCAGAGAGGCCCCCTCGAAGCCGGAAAAAGAGGCCCCGAGAGGCCCCCGCTCGCCCCCCCCCCCCGGAGGCCCTGCTGCTGAAGGGGCTGGCCGCCATGTTGGTAGCCTGAAGTCGGGCATGTCCCTCTACAGGAGGAAAGTTCAAATAATTGATAACAAATAGTCTTGGGACGATTTTTCTGGTATTTCTGATAATTTTGGAATATTGCTTGACTATGTTTCATTTTTCGTCCAAAATCCGCCTGTAGGGGGCCATGCCCGACCCAAACATAGCCTTTCAACAGCATTCCCGCCGCCTCCCGAGCCAGATGTCGTGGCCAGAGGCCGCGGGTCAGCCATAGTCTCTCCTACAATGCCGGGATCAGCGCGTGCGAGAAGGGCGAGCAGTGGCAGCCAGCGCTCGTGCTGCTGAGAGAGATGCGGGAGGCGAAGCTGGAGCCCAACGTCATCAGCTTCAGCGCGGGGATCAGCGCGTGCGAGAAGGGTGAGGAGTGGCAATGGGCGCTTGCGCTGCTGAGCGAGATGTGGGAGGTGAAACTGGAGCCCCACGTCATCTGATCTACGTTGCAGGGACCCGCGCGTGCGAGAAGGGCTTGGGGCCCACATGTTGGCGCTCCAGAACAGCCCGGAGCCGCCAGCTAGCCGCAGGGCAATTTTCAAACAGAACTTCGTGCTAAAGATTGTCCGCGCTTCTCCTCGCTGGTCGGTGACGCCTTCAAGTTGGCCAGCGAGCGCTACAGGACCCCCCAGCTCGCGCGAAGATTGTTCCAGGAAGCAGCCCGACGCGGCCAAATTCAGTGTTTTCCCATGGGTTTTCCATGCTTTTACGGTCTCCCCATTTCGCGCCTCTTGAAGCGTCTTGGTTGCCTCGGTGGAGCCGCTTCGGGCCTCTTGGGAGTATCGAAGGGGTCTCTTGGAGGCCTCATGGGAGCATCCTGGAAATTTCTGAGGGCCTCCTGGCCGCCTCTTGAGCCCCCCTTGGGGCATTCTTGGGAGGTTCCTAGTCCATCTTGGGGCCATCAGGGAAGAGATCGATCACAGGAGGGGCCGTAGTAACTGAGCACCCTCCTCACGAGGCCAACGTGCTGCCAAAACCTTGGCAAAATCAATGATTCGGGCCTTCTCGCCGACGCCTCTCGGAGCGCTCGGAGCTTGTTCGGGCCTCCTGCGCACTTCTCCAGGCCGTCACTTACGGCATAAAGCTTGTCCGCGCTTTCTCCTCGCTGGTCGGGGACGCATTCGAAACAGCAGGCGAGCGCTCCAGGACGCCCCGGCTCGCGCGAATCTCGTCCCAGGAAGCAGCCCCCGGAAGCCCAAATCCGTATTTTCCTTTGGTTGTTTTCAAAGGTTCGCACGCCTTCTTTATATCGAACCTCGTCAAGCGTCTTGGGTACCTCGGTGGAGCCTCTTCTGGCCTCCAGTGGGCCTCTTCGGAGTCACTTGGAGGCATCTTGGGGGCATCTTCCGAGCTTCTGGGGTCCTCCTGGGACCCTCTGGGGGCACTCTTGCGCGCCTCGGACTCCATCTTGGAGCCAATCTGGGAGGAGATCGATCACAGGGGGGGGCCGTAGTACCTCAGCAACCTGATCACAAATTCAGCAAAATCTTCGTAAAGATCAATGATTCTGGCCCTTCTCGCCGACGCCTTTCAGAGCGCGTGGGGTGCCTCTGGGGGGCTTCTTGGGGCCTCTCGGGGTCTCGCGGGCGCCACCACTGGCGAGCATCTTCGCCTCTTGGAGGCTCCTGGGAGGCGCGCGTTCGTGCCCGCGCCGCCTCGCTGGCTTCGAGGACGCCCTCGAGACGGCCAGCGAGCGCTCCAGGACGCCCCAGCTCGCGCGAAGCTCGTCCCAGGGAGCAGCCCGAGGAGGTTAGAATCATCATGTACCCTTCTTCGGTTCCCCAAGGCTTACACGTTATCCTCACGCCGCGCCTCTTGAAGCGCCTTGGGAGCGTCGGTGGAGCCGCTTCGGGCCTCCCGGGGGCCTCTGGAGGTTTCTGAAGGGGCCTCTTGGCGAGCGTTTTCTCATTCGGCGTTTCGACACTGGGCGCAAGCTCCGGACCTCTGCTCAATGCCACCGTTTGCAGCAGTGCGCCCCATGGGGGAGGGACGCCACCTGCTCGAAACAGGCGCCCCAACGAGCCAGAATCTGCTCCACGGTGGGAGGGAGAGGAGGGAAGGGAAGGGGGGGTGCGAGGTCCGCGCCACGCTCGGCAGAACAATGAATAACAAAAATCGTTCGCTTGGCGGCGTCCCCTCTGCCGCCTATCCTAACCTCCTGCCTCCCTCCTTCAGACCTGCATTTCCCCCTCTCCTCCCCCGTCCCCCCTCGTAGCGGTTAGTTTGAGCGGAGAGCGCTTCATGTGTAGGTTTGGCTAGCTCGCGAACCCGCCTCTGAGTCGCAGAGTCGCAGGGGGGCCTCTTGGACGCTTCTGGGGGCCTCCGCGCCCCGTCCGCGGGCTGTGCTGGGTCTTGCCCGGCGGCCTGGGCGGCGGGCCCTGCGGCGCCGGCGCCCTCGCCACGGGCAGGGCTCGGGAGCCTTGAGGCGGGGGTCAATGCCAACGGGGGTCAGCCAGAGCGCCCGGTCTTGCAGGATCCTCAGAGGCCAGGGTCGCACCGACCCGGGCTTGGGTGCAGGGTCCTGCAGGGTCCAGCAGGACCCTTCGCGTCGACCCGGGCTTGGGTGCAGGATCCTGCAGGGTCCAGCAGGAGCCTGCAAGGCCCGACTGCCCCGGGTCTGGATTGACCCAGGTCAGCAGGTCCCCCAAGTGGCTCACACGCTGCAGCGGGTGGACAAAGTGTCGCGAGTGATCGGCCCAGGCATGGTCGCGTCGTTAAAATCAATCATGGCGGGAGGTTTTTCGCTATCGTCGGCCTCGGGGGGCCCTCGCCGGACCTCGGGGCCGCCAAAAAGCGACTCTGGATGAAAAACCGGTCCCAGGGAAAGGGTCGGGACTTCCAGGGACCCAGTATCGAATAAATCAGGACGTCGCATGATTGCGTGTTCGTGTTGAGAAACAGCACAAACGACCAGCGGCGGTTCTCGGCGGCAGAGAGCACAGACTGGCAGTTATCACGTGAGTCCGCCTGCATATCACATTCTTGAGGCCACGGCCTCCACGCCATGGCACGCGCGGGCTCCCAGGAGGAGCGCGCACGACTCTGGCGTTCGCCTCACTTCGCTTCGCTTCTGAGAAACAGCGTGTCAACTTGGATCAGATCCCATCGATCCCTGAGGAACGCCCCCTACACGCATTTCAATGTTGACTTGCACTGTTTTTGTCCGCCCGGAATCGGGGCGCCCGCTTGGCGCCAGCATTGGAACGCAGGGGGCCGGGGATTGTTCGTCGAGGTGGCCTCGCACTGCAGGTGCAGCCGCGCGCGGCCAGGAACAACGTGCAAAACTTCGCCTGCCCAACGCACCCCTCTTCTTCGGCCTCGCTCGCCGGGCAGCGGCGAGGCCCACTCCGGGAGCCGAGGCGCCCGTCCGCCTCCTCGACATCGAGCACGCGGGCGCCTCCCCTCCTCCCCGTCGCGCCGCCCGCCGACTGCGCGTCCCCCCCCCCGATCGCCCACGGTCAGCTGCTCTGCATGCTAGCTTGCCTGCCGCTTGCAGTTGACGCTTGGTGGTGTTGTCCCCTCGTGGCTTCGGGCCGCGTTTCCTCCTCGGTCGTGGTCCCTCCGCCGTGGTCGGTTCTGTTGGCCCTCGCTTCCGCCTTCGTTTTTGGGCCCCTCGGTCGGCCCAGCTCGTCGTCGCGCGCGTTTGGGAGCTAGCGCTGGACTCGGGCCCACGGCCGCAGAAAGGAGCATTTGTTCAGTGATTCAAGCTCCCGATCCTGGCTCCTCGCGCTTCGGCGCACCATGCTGCCCAGGCGCCAGCGCGCAAGGCCTCACGACACGAGCCCGCTGTACCCGACTTTCCTCGGCTGAAGGTCCAGGAGTCGGCTTCCACGGAGCCCGTTGAGGTCCCTCGCCAGAAGGCCGCCACTACTCGGAACGCCCCCGCCTGCACCGTCCCGAGTTGCTCCTCGCCTGCTGCCCCGCGAAGCGGAGCGACACCCCGTCAGCGGCGTCCAAGAGGCTCCCAAGACGGCCTCAGGCAGCCTCAAGAGAGCTCCAAGACGGTCCAAGGCCTCCCGGACGCCACGTGACGGCCCAAAAAGGCCTAAAACTTCCAAAACGCTCCCAGCGCAGCCCCAAGAGCTTCAGAATGGCCCGAAAAAGACCCCCACAAGGACCACCAAGCAGGCCCAGAGACGCCCATTGAAAGAGCGATCGGTGAAGTACAAAGCTCTCACCAAGGCTCCCAAGAGCGAGACGCAGCGTAGAGAGCTCTCCCAGGCACAGCTCCCAAGAGCGAGCGGTGACGTCGGGACACCCTTCCGACCTCTCACACAGGAGCACGCACGCACAGCACGCAAGCACAATCGATTTCCTGGGCTGTCCCCCGGAAGAGGCTCGGGGGGACAGCCCGGGAACGCCCCCAGAGGCGCCCAACAACAATTTCAAGAGAAAAGGCCTCCAGGAGGCCGCAAGACGGCCCAAGAGGGCCCCCAAAGGCCCTTAGGAGGCCACAAGACAGCCAACGAGGCCCCAACAGGCCCCCAGGAGCTCCAAAACAAACCCCGAGAGGCCCACTAACCATTCCCAAAGAGACGGCAGCGCCCGCCATCAGGCTTCGAAGAGGCAACCGGAAAAAAGTCACCAGAGCCCTCCGGGTGACTTTTTTCAAGGCCCCAGGTGCTTTCAAAATTGACCAGCGGCTTGACGTACACCAGAGACCCACCATAGCCATATGTGACGCTCCGAAGGCTGTCTAGGCGGAGGTAGAGCGGAAGGCGGACGAAGAGGAGGAAGCGGTCCAAGAGGGCCTCCGAGACGGCCCAAGACCGCAGGAAGACGCTCCAGACGAGCCGCGGCAAACGAAAACATTGATTCTTCTTTGCTTTCTGAAAGATTTCCATCTTCTCGCCATTTCGAGCGAAGGCAGGCCCAAGACGGCCTTGTCGAGCCAAGACTGATCCAAGATGACGTGGACGAAGTCCACGGGTTTGCCCTAGTCTTCTTCTCTACAATGCAGGGGCCCGTGCGTGCGGGAAGTGTCTTGATGGGCGTAAAATGCCCCACAACGGCTCCGGGGACGCCCCAGAGGCGCTCACGCGGCCCCAGAGGCGCCCAGGACGGCCCCAGACACCCCCAAAACGGCCCAAGAGCGCTCCAAGAGAGCTCAAGACCGCCGACAACGGCCCCGACAAGGCCCAGAGGCCTCCACGACGGCCCCAGAGACGCCCAAGAGGCGTCCCAGGATGTCCCCCACAGGCCCAAATCATTGTTTTTCCGAAGAAAAGCGCTCAATTTTAGCATACACTGCTTGTCGGGAATATGGCGCACAAGACGGGACAAGAGGCCCCCACGACCGCCCCAAGACGGCCCAAGAGGCCCCCCAGAGGCACGAAAACCGGCCCGAGAGAGCGTCAAGAGACCCAAGAGGCGCCCAACACGGCCCCCAGGCGGCCCCAAGAGGCT